AGTCTTCGTCCCTGTCTGATTCATCCCGAGATCCATCCACCTTCTAAGCTTAAGAACATGAGCTACACTTAACTAAATTGACTCGGGTTTGTTTCTAAAAACTCATCTATCCTAGACGAAGCTATCTATATGGCTAACATGGCATGAAATTGGATCTATGCAAGTGTAGATTCAAAACAAGCTCGGGACAGTGGGGAGGTTTACACCTTTGCTCTGAGAAGGAAAGCTTCAATCAGAGATGCTCGACACGTTTGTGGAAGTCCAAGGAGGCTAGCGATTGAACCTCTTGCTGTGGTGAAATGTCTAGACCCAAATTCGGTCAAGAACAAATTTGGGTGTTGATCAATGTCTAGGTTAGAGGCTCTCTATGAGGGGGCTTTGATGGGGCTTCTTCTTCTCTCCCTATGGTGAAGGTTTTGGCAAGTTTAATTTGATTTTGGTTTAGTGTGGAGTTGTGGTGGAGAGTGTCTTGTTTCCAGCAAGGATTTGAGCTCTGAAATTGAGCTCCAACAAGGGAAATTAGGGCAAGGAAGTGGTTAGGTTGCACTGAGGAGGTCTCAAGGAAGCTGTGGGAGCAATTGTGCAGGGTCTCCTTGAGAAAATTTCAGCACCCTAACTTTGGCCATGAAGAGGCCATTTTATAGCCATGGCCAGAGAGGGGAGCTCAAGGCCTGACTTTGGGTACAAAAGCTTGCTGAGGTGGTGAGCTAAGGGCGCAATTGGCCAATGGGGGCGAGACAACTCAGATGGGTCATTGGGTGAGGATTTAAGTGTGGTGGCTTTAGTTTTGAGGTGCTCCAGAGACTAGGCCGACCGACAATGGCAGGGGAGGTGCTTAGGTGGCTGAGAAACTTCAGAGGAATCTGTTACAACAATTAATTTGGGCTGGTGATAGGTTTTGGCAAAGATATCTTTGGTTTAAGTAATTTAGGAAACAAATCCCTTAATTTAGGGGACCTTTGGTCCATGGCTCATCTAGAGTGGGTTAAGTGGGTCTAGCTTGGTTAGTAGGACCAAAAGTTGGATGTATAAGTCTTGCTTTAGTCAATTTGACATGGCTAGGTCAATTTTGGTGCATGGGTTCAATGTGGGTCTAAATGGCCAAAGGTTGGGTTTGGATTAGGCTAGCCATGACTTTGAGCCCAATTAATTGATCAACATTGTGTAGATGATTGTAATGAAGATTTTTTGTGAAGGGTTGAAATGATTTTGAGTTCAATTTGAAGGATTTTTGGGATTTTGGTCAATTTGGGCATGTTGGGCTAGACTTGTGTCTAGGTTGGGCTAAGTACAAATTGATTGTTGAAAATGGTCTATAGGAACATCATGAAGAGTTTTCAACATAAATTGGGTGTCAATTTTGGGGTTAGGGCAATCAATTTGGTGGAATTTAAAGAAATAGTCAATTTAGGGCAAATTTGGGGATTTTTGGACTTGGGTTAAAATTGAATGCAATTGAGGCTTCAACAAGGCCAATTAAAGATCAAGTTTAACTGGCTCACTTTCTGTGGGATCGATAGTCCGGACTCATAAATTTGATATTATTAATACAACACGTATACTTTTGTGAAACCCCAGTGTGCAAGTGCACCTGAATCAAGAGAGTATTACATTGGCACAGAGAAACAAAATGCCACCAACAAGACAAATGTGACAAGAACCACATAATACTCATCTTGAAGGAATCATTACTAAAAATATAAAATTTTAATTTTATTTATTCATTTATTAACAAAAAGAGGGAGCAACACACTACACCTCTTAAGGAAAATCTCACTTTGTGGTTGTTTTTAGCTTCATCCAAGAGAAACCCCCTTGATGCAACTGCTCGTATAAAAACTCGCCAATTAGCTTAAAGGGGTCATTCTAACTATCCCTCTCTCTAATGACTGATAACTCTTGACATAGCCGAGCCATCTCCTCTAAAAAAATAGTAAATTCCTTACGAAGTGCAACAACTTCTTTCTCTATCTGATTGACTCACTCTAAGACCTCAACATCTCCATCATCGATATACAACTAAGGTTTTAGTATGAGATGAAGAAAGTGCCCTTCCATTTCAGAATCGTGGTGCACTAGAAAGCTGGCAAATAAGCAATGCCACCTAGATGTTGCATCATCTGCTGTCGCACTGGGAGGAATTTGGCTGCCCATGCTTCTACCTCAGCCCAAGGGAGGATTCTCCCTAATCCACTAGGCCACATTGTCCGACTCCACGATGCCTTGCTCTATGGTCCTATATTCCAAAGCAACCTGCTCCTTAATATTCACTCCCCTCTCCCTAAACTGATTCACAAAGACCACATCACCTTCAGGGTCGGCGTCAGTGTCTTACGAAGTAGAAACGATTGTCAGAGTTCCTCCAATTGCAAAAGGAATACTAAAAGCATGATTCAAACTACATACCCAAAACTTGACAACATTTAGAAGTCATGTAAGAGACGAATCCCTCACCGGTCTCCTCCAATTCTCCACTCATCGAGGAAAAGCCACCCTTTTGTGATTGAAGCTTAATCCCAGCTTGAGCCGGCAGCTTCCCGATCCCATTAGGAGTTTGAGTCCTTGTAGCAATCCGAATGGAAATCCCCCCCCCCCCCTGGGCAAAAGGGATGCCTCCAATGGGCATCCCAAAAGTTGATCATCAGTATGCTTTCTAACCTCCTCTGGAGCTCCCTCTTGTGATAAACCTACTAAAAAACCCGAAGATCCGATTTGATCATCATTTCCCTTCGCTCGTGACCCCATCACAATTCGCTTCTTGTTTAAATCTCCCCGGAAGCCTCACCTACTAGTTTTCATTTCACAACAGGTTTATGTGTCTGCGCTTGCATGTCACTCATTGCTTTGAGGAGGGCACTCTTGTCCGCTAATGGCACTCCCTCACTAGACATCACAACAAACACAAAAAAGAAGAGATAGAGGACTAATGAAGCAAGAAGAAAAGGAAATGATGCAAACCCACAGTATCCCAAAACCTATTTATAATGGTACGGACACGAAAATCCAGGGAAGTTCTTTTTGCCCAATAATATCATTTAATTATTTCATATATGTTAAAAAGATTCTTTTACCCTCATGTACTATGTAACTTTCAAGGTGCAAGAGAATTATGAAACTAAATGTATAAATATAAAAATATGTCAGCACGAATCTCGAGGCAGATAAATAGTTGAGGAAGATGACATTAACAATTGGGCACAGTTGTTGACGATCGTTTTGAACTAGATGTTAGCAAGGGAGGCGTTCTGTCTGAAATATTGACAGAACATTCCAAGGGATGTTCTGCGGGATGGGGATCAGTCCTCAAGACGATCGACCGGAGGCTCTCTTTCAGATTAGATATCGATCGAGTCAAGACTTACCAGACAATCGACAACTTTCATCGATCAATTCATTCGCTGGTCTTATTATATGTGAATAACTCTGTAATTACCAAAAAGTCCCCCTCAAAAGTTAATAAGGAGGGGGTAATATTTGCTTTTGAAATGTTGAGACCTAAGTCTATAAATAGTGGTCCATGTTATGAATAAAAGACAATTGTTTATTATCCCCCCCTCTCTCTCTCTCTCTCATCACTTCCAGAACATTCTATTTCTTGGATGAGTTTCCTGAACACTTTTAGATTCAACAAGTTTAATGTATTAATAAAAAAGTATTTTAAATTAATGATTAATATTAATTCGGTAATATAAATTTAGATAACATTTCACATATATAAACTATGATTAATTAATTTAAAGAATTTTTTATTACCATCATTTTAAAGAATGTCTTGGTTATATAAATTTAATAAAATTTAATTGTTGGACGTACAAATATATATTAATTAAATGATATATATATATATATATATATATATAGTGAACGACGCCGAACAGGAAAATAAAAAAAATGATAGTAAGCACGTCTACAAAGGAAAAAAAAAAAATCCGACTGTTGTGCCACATGGACATCGACGCACCGCCGTTGGTTTTATTGACGATTGTGCGCAGATAGAAATTTTATTTTTTGGTGTTTTTTCTTAAACTTTGTCCAAGTTTATCAAAAAAAGAAGCAATGGTGAGCAAGCTTTGGCAAAATTATGATCGACAATATTACTCTCTATCCTATCTTAAAGTGAATAATTTTATTGTCCTTGGTTAGGTCATATTCTCCAAGTCTAAATGCGATCAGTTGGAAGATGTTTTTCCTCTAGTGTTTTCAATGGCTAAGGGTGTAAACGAACCGAACACGAATGAAGAGTGTCTATTCGTGTTCGATTAATTTGAAATTAATTGTATTTGAAATAGACTCGTGTTTGAAATTATTCATTAAAGTTGTTGTTCATGTTCGGTTCAATTTGTTCGAAATAAGTTCGAATTGTTCGAAATGTTTGAATTGTTTGAATTCTATGAATGGTTCGAATTGTTTGAATTGTTCGAATTATTTGAATTGTTTGATTTATTCGAAATGTTCGAATTGTTAAAAAATATTAAGATTAATTTGCATTATTTAAAACATGATAAATTTTTAGAATATATAATTATTTTTAAAATATCATAATTTTTTTATATATAATCATTTTAAAATTTAAAATTTTGAGGCTTTTAGTGATAACTTACAAATATCTTCATATTTCAAAATCCCTTGAAATTATTTTGATGCATGCACAAAACATCTTTATTTGGTAACCACTGAAAATTTATTGCATGTTAAATGAAAACCAATAGTCTCATAAATAATCCAAGGAATTTATAGAGGTAAAATAGATGAATATAATTTTTTCCATGCATGCACAGGTCATAAATTCAATCAATAAATTCCTAGTTTTTCCAATGAACATGGACAAAAAATGTACGACTAACAGCAATTATTAATTATTCTCGCAAGAATAAGAAACTTCTATCCCCCTAGTTTATGTCCCTTCAATATCTTCTCCTTACAGAAACATGCTCTCATTTCAAACCACAACCCTATAAATACCAAACACTAATCATGCACTTTCTATCCCGATTCCACTCATGGCATCCACCACCCTTCTCCTTCTCATCCTGCTCTCCTCCTCTGTCCATGCCATCTCTGACCCCTTATCCTCCTTCCAAAACTACATTGTCCATGTCCGCCACCCATACAACCTCCTCAACCCCAACTACACCAGCCCTCAAAACTATCACCTTTCTTTCTTCCCCACAACAACCACCACAACTTCCTCTTCTCCCCGCTTGCTCTACTCTTACAGCGAAGCCATCACTGGTTTCTCTGCTCAGCTGACAGCAGAGCAAGTCACTGCCATGTCAACCAAACCCGGCTTCCTCGGTGCCTACCCAACTCCAAACTACAAACTCATGACCACCCAAACCCCTACCTTTCTCAAACTCCACTCGAACTCCGGCCTCTGGAACCAATCCAACCAAGGCGAAGGCATCATCATCGGAACAATCGACACCGGAGTAGCATCCGGCCACCCTTCTTTCTCCGACGCCGGCATGCCCTCAGCTCCTCCCCGCTGGAAATCACAATGTCAGCTTCCACTCACCGCTCCATGCAACAAAAAACTTATTGGCGCCCGGACCTTCGTTGGCAACAACGCCTCCGACTTACAAGGCCACGGCTCTCACACCACGAGCACTGCCGGTGGAAACTTTGTCGACAACGCTAATGTTCTCAGTCAAGCCAACGGCACAGCTTCCGGAATTGCTCCACGCGCGCACGTTGCAGTTTATAAAGTCTGCGATCTAGAAGGATGCCGCGGCGAAGATGTAACCGCGGGTTTAGATTTTGCCATACAAGATGGTGTCGACGTTGTCTCTCTTTCACTAGGAGCAGGCACAACTTCTTTCGCCATGGACCCCATTGCAATTGCCGGTTTCCGCTCTTTTCCAAAAGGGATCCCTTTCGTCTGCGCTGCAGGTAACGACGGGCCGTATTTGTCTTCCCTCTCCAACGAAGCGCCGTGGCTTCTTACCGTAGGTGCTTCCACAATGAACCGGATTCTCAAATCCGTGGTGCGGCTTGGGGACGGGCAGGAGTTTGCGGGCGAAGCTCTGTTTCAACCAAAAAATTTCTCATCTCAACAAAAATTTCCACTTGTTGCGCCCCAATCATGCGACAAATTCTCGCCCAAAACCGTGAAAGGAAAGATCGTTCTTTGTGATTTGGTTGCCGATGTCGATGCGATTAAGGCTGCTGGAGGATCGGCGGTCATTTTGAAAAACAATAAAATTGAGGGCGCAACGATAGTGCTTAATCTCCAACCATTGCCATCTTCGCTGGTCACCTTCACAGACGGAGCTAAGATCACTTCATACGCCGCCACGGAAGTCAACCCCACCGCCGCCATCGAATTCTACGGGACAGTGATCGGTTCTCCTCCTTCAGCGCCAAAGGTGGCTTTTTTCTCATCAAGAGGACCCAGCATTTCAAGCGCCGGGATTCTTAAGCCGGATATCATTGCCCCTGGCGTCAACGTGCTAGCCGCATGGCATGAGCCGATAACCAACGATACAAACTACAATGGCAATCGCCGGCATTTTAATATCATCTCAGGGACATCCATGGCGACCCCTCACATCACAGGCGTGGTTGCTTTACTAAAAAAGGCTCATCCGAATTGGTCTCCTGCAGCAATAAAATCTGCCATAATGACAACGGCTGATGTAGCGGATGATAGTGGTAATCCGATCATGGACGAGAAGCTGAAGCCGGCGGACCACTTCGCGCTGGGCGCAGGGCATGTTAACCCTGCGAAAGCAGGGGACCCGGGGCTGGTCTACGACATCTCCGGCGATGATTACTTACGATATATTTGCGGAGTAGGTTATTCAGATAGCGATGTGACCATAATAGCGGGACGGAATGTGAGTTGCTCTGAAGTGGGGAAAATAGCAGAGGCTGAATTGAACTATCCTTCCATTTTGGTGTTTTTAAATCTTACGAAGGTGAGGGTAAAAAGAACGGTGACGAACGTCGGGGAGGCCGAGTCGACGTATAGAGTGAAAGTTCAGAGTCCGAAAGGTGTTAGGGTGAAGGTGAAGCCGCTTGTTTTAGGGTTTAGTGAGGTGGGGGAGAAGAAGAGCTTCTATGTGACATTTGAGAAAGTGTTTGGGGCAATGTATTTGGGGAACTCAACGCATGGAAGCTTGTCGTGGGTGTCTGCAAAACGAGTGGTGAGGAGTCCAATTGTCGTGATGATGTAGGGTTTATGAGCAAATTGTGAAAGGTTCTGCATTTAAGGTGAATGTTTTATCAGTTTTCTTTTTAATTGGTTGACGAAAACGATGTCCTCGTACTTAAATGGTTATATGAATGCAAAAACCTTGTCTTTTTGTTATTTGAGTATTAATGCGCAAATTTAATGCCAGTAATTTTTAGAAATTTAATCAATTATATAAATTCATATCTATTTATGGATTTGTTGTTGCAATGTGAAGTTATTTATTTATGGGGGATTTACATACGCAACACAAATCTTATGGATTTAGCTATCCAACACCTAAAGTTTGTTATTTACTGATATACCATTGAAATACTTTGTGAAAAACTCCCTCCCCATCCCGGGTGATGCCTTAGGGCACTGTTCCATCCTGTTCGATGCATGCCAACCAATCCCACCCGCTTCACCATCCGCGAGCTCATCTTCTTCCTCCGGTCGTACGTCGCGAGATATGCGTCGGAATAGTGCTCTAAAAACTTCTATTAGGTTTCCGCGAGCTTATCTTCTTCCAACAGCACAAAATGTCAGCTTTTACTTTGATAATAGGAATTTTAGGAGCTCATTTTCACACAATCTTACACATATCATGCACAAAAAACATGCAGATTGGAAACGAGCGAACAACTTGTGTACTCATAAAAGCATGCACACACAAAACTTAGATACCACTTCCAATTATAAATTAAATCTTTTTAAGAATCCAACAACTCAGGGCATTTTTTTACTAAGAAGTATAGGCAAAAGAATGATGAAAAAAAGCTATACTTTAAGTTTTGATGCATATATATTCAAGTCGACATTAAATGAAACCGGGACTCAGACTCCATTTTGTCAATGCTATAAATTATCAATTTAAAGTTGTAAGTTAATCTTTCTTAATCAATTATTCTATGGACAGAAAGTCAAGACATCTTTTTTTTTCTTTCTGGTAGACTAATATTGATAAACAACTAAACTTTAAGTGAATGAAGTCCAGTCTTATCTCACAGATGTTCTTATTATGTTTCATGGTGGTTTGAGATTGATAATGAAAATAAATAGATATATGTGGGTAACATTTAGATAAAATCATCATTAGAATTTTTTACTTTGATATACAGTGGTTGGATTGATTTGATATCAATTTCGATAAAAAATTGATGTCGATTTTTATGTTGATCTTCTTTATTTATCTGATGAACAACTTGATATTTATTAGTTTGACTGGTTTTTTTGTTAAGAGGAGATTATTATAAAACTTGGCACAACAAAACAAAGAGCTATGCATTTTGCCCCATGGCCACTCACAACCAGTCAATTAATTTTGTATGAGAAATGGTACTATCTTTTCTTTGATCTGATATCAGCTGGCATCAGTTGTACTGATAAGTCTATATATATTGTTGATATAAAGGAAAGCGCATAGCAGTCATATACATTGTTCTCCACTTTCTATTTGATACATAATATGATAATATCCTTCCACTTCTTTACAACAATTTTTGCAAGTGGTCACATTCTATTATGTACTCATTTTCTATATAATCTGATTAAAAATAATTTGCTAATAAGTTAGGTGCGGTGGCTATTACAAATTTTTATTTTATTGAAAAAGTCAGACCGCTACTAAAAAGCTGTCACCGCATCTAGATAGGTGCGGTGTGAAAACACTGTTTTCAGCGGTTTAAAAACGCATAAGCTGCCAAAACGCAGTTTACCCAAACATGTCATGTGAGTTTTCAAAACGCCACCGTACCAAATAAGCTGCCCCAAACAGACTCTATATGTAGGGGACTGTATATAGTATATGTAAGGATTTTCACATAATAGAGGAAGAAGGAAACACTCTTTTTCTTACTATTCTATTCGCTCATCTTTCTCTGTTCTCCAAATATTGCATTTCTTCTTGGTATCAGAGCTTTGATACCTTGAAGTTTCTTAATTTTTTTTTTCTTCCTATTTCTCCCTTCTCTTCCAGCAAGATTTTCTTCTATTGTTACTAAGGGTGTCACTCTATGGTTTGAACAAGTGATCCGTCAATGGTTTGATTACTTATTTATAATCGCTTGAATTTCAAACTATTAAAGCTGATGAATCCCTCCTAATTTTTTGAATTTCTACAACCCTTATTTACATTTTGTGTTTGTCGATGATATAATTATATTAGGTAATAATAATAATGTTATTAATGAAATTCTTGCTCAGTTATCAACTCGTTTTAATATAAAAAATCTTGGTTCTATACATCATTTTTTGGGTACACATATTCAACCCTCACCCTATGGCTTAAATTTAAATCAAGACCAATATACTCAATAGTTACTATGTCGAGCATGTATGTTGGATTGTAAATTTGGTCTTACTCCTCTTCTTACAAAGTTTACTATTGATGCAGATCAATTTCCCATCTATACGCAACCTAATTTCTATAGACACTTGGTGTGGTCTTTGCAATATCTTACTTTAACCGGGACACATCACATATGCTATAAATAAATTGTATCAATACATGCATCAACCACATACCAACCATTTTCAACTACTTGAATGATTGTTGAGTTATATTAAAGGTACTATCTCGAGCGGTTTACCAATATATGCATCTTGGCTTCTTTTCAATCCTTCTCTAGTTCTGATTAGACAAGAGATAACCTCAAACCAGAAATTTACAACTTGGTATTGTTCTTTTCTTAGTAAAACTCTTATTTCATAGGAAATTAAAAAGTAGTCTACTATAGCATGTTCTGCTACAGAGGCTTGGTATAGAGCTCCTGCTACTAATGCAACTGATATTATGTGGTTACGCACTCTTCTTCATGAATTTGGCATTAATGTATCTAAACCTACTTCCTTATTTTATGACAATGTATATGTGTTGTTTCTAGCAAATAATCCAGTTTTTCATTCTTGGACTAAACATATACCTATTGATTTCCATGTCATTCGAGATAACATCAAGTCAAAAGATATAATAATGCATCATATAGACTTCGATGTTTAGATAACAGATATTTTCACCAAAGCACTTTTTGTCTCTTGGTTTCAATATCTTTGCAACAAGCTTAAAGTCCATGTTTTGTCTATCAGCTTGCGGGAGGAGATAAGTCTATACATATTGATGATATAAAGGAGAGGCATAGCAAAATAAACATGTCAACCAATCATTTAGTTGTGCTGAATGGCCTTCTATAGTGGTTTTTTGGCAAAAGGAAGGAGGCACTTGGAATAATTGGACTGTTTATCATCTGGGGAGAAGGAGAGAGCCAATTTGCAAAGAAGGAGGAATTCTTAGTGATTGATGCACCACCAACATAAAATGTGATATTCAGTCTCTCGCTCCTCAACAACTTTAAGGCTGTGGTATCTGCAAACCATGTAGTAGTGAAATTTTCTTGCAAGGGGAGAATTATGACCATGTGAGGGAACTTAGATCAGTCACGGGCGTATTACCTTTGAACAGTTAGGAACATGGAATGTAGAATGTTGGACATACAAAATCGACTTGAAGGGGGGCTTGAGACTAATGAAGCCACCATCAAGATCCCCGCAGACCTCGATGAGTTGATTAAATTTTTCTAATTAGCAAAAAATTTGATGCAAGTCACACATAATAATCGAATCAGATTCTCCAATATCACTACAACGTTTTACCTAATTAATTGCAGAGATGTCAAGCATCCATAAATATGTGGCTTTTCATCACCTCAATGTCAGTTCATCTGTCCGACCCATTAAATAGAAATTTCGGTCATCATCCATGACGTTGGTCAGGTTGATTCATGAGGAAGTACAAAAGCTCAAAGAGGCAGGCTACATCAGCGAGGTGCAATACCCCTTTTGGATATCAAACATAGTCATGGTGTAGAAGTCTAATGGTAAGTGTATAATCTGCATGGAATTCACAATTTTGAGTGTACATTCCCCAAGGATGGCTACCCCTTACCATGGATCGATGCATTGGGGACTCTGCGGTTGGGCATTCAATCATGTGTTTTCTGAATGTTTTTTTTTTAAACTACCACCAAATTAAGACACACTTGGCCGACGTTGAAAAGGCTATTTTTTTTAGAAGTGAAGGGTTGAGCTATTTTACTGTAATGCTCTTTAGGTTGAAAATTTTCAGTGCTACTAACCAGCATCTAATGGAGGTAATATTTTCTAAGCAAATTGAAAAACATATCGAGGTCTATGTCAATGAAGTTCTAATTAAAATCAAATCAGTTGAACAACATATAAGTGACTTAAGAGAAACTTCCAAACTCGCAAGAAATATAATATGAAATTAAACCCGCTAAAATGCACATTTGGAACTTCAATCAGGAAGTTCTTAGGGTAACTTCTGACACTCGAAAGTATAAAAGCTAATCATGAGAAAGTAAAGGCACTACTAGATATGCCTTCACCTTGAAATGCTGAAGAAGTTTAGAAGCTGGCTGTCTGAATAGCAGCATTTAACAGCATTTAGCAGATTCATTTCCAAATCAGGCAAAAACGCATTGCTTTATTCAAGGTATTAAGGAAAGCCAAGAAATTCTAATGATTGATCGGATGTGAGGAGGCCTTCCACATGCTGAAGCAGTCACTTGTCTCACGCTTATTGATGTTAAGTCCAAAGCTGAAGGAGGAACCCTCACTGAATCTGAGAGTTGCGTCAAAAGCCATCAATTCGGTTTTTGTTTGAGAGAAGCTATGGAGAAAATTCCTAGTCTACTAGACGAGTCGGGTTCTAAGCAAAGTCGAGGTCAATTACCCAATTATGAAAAATCTAACCTTTAAGTTGATTGTCTCTGCTTATAGGCTCCGGCCATATTTCTAACGCTTTTCATCAGAGAAATCATCAAGCATCCACCTCAAGTCTGCATTCACTCGTCTGGAACAATCTTGTTGGCTAAGAAAATGGGTTGTGGAACTTAGTTATTATGACATCAGTTATATCCTAGATTGTGATTAAGGCTAAGGTCGTAGTTGACTTTTAGGTTAACTTTTCTAAGCCTGAGGGATCAT